TCCCTACACCTAGAACAGTTTTTATGGAAGCACATCGTCATCGCTTATATTATTTAATTTTTTTGTCAATAATTCTCAAGTATTTATTGATCAGACTTGATTGTTTTAGTATGGGTTCAGTTCACACCCATTTTGTGAACTTCGATTTTGTACAATTTCAGCATGTCGAGTACAACCTTTTTGCTTATTTACGAATTTAATTCTTGGAAACATGATTCTTGTGAGCAGCTATAAATAACATAACTTATTCAATGTATGTGATCAGCACATTTTCAAGAAAAATGTCACAACTGAAAAATGTAGAACTATTCAGGAGACGGATTTAAAGCAAAGTTTTTAAATTAGTTAGATATAATAACATTAAATGGATTGGAAAAATAAAAATTAATTTAGTATATCAAATTGGTGGCCTTAGTGGGGTTTGATTCGTAGGCATAAAGACACAATTTAGGTTTGATTTTAATTCTGTTGACCCCATAAAAACTTTCCGGATTTTGGCTTGTGTCGTTTTTGATGTACTAAATTACTTATATTTTCGATTTCCGCCATTTATATCTAATAGGAAACCAATTGCTTAATACGTTATTCTTTATTTATTTCAGTCCTTAGTTCCAGTTACAACCGGTTAATTGTATTATCAGAATCTGTTTATACACAAAAAATTAATTCAAAATAAAAAACAACTTGTACTTACGATTAAGGTTTTAAATTTAAGATTTATATTGGCAGCTTTATACAATATAAAACCTTAGAACAGTTTGAACGTTTATTGAAACTCACAAAAAAAAGCTTGTATCTACCAATAGCAGCAAAACCGCATTTCAAAAAATGTGATACCGTATGAAAGATGTAAATCTGACCTTAATAAATCAACGCTTTAAAAATATATCGGCTTAGATTTTTGAGTTGTGATTTACTCGACTCAACTCCATGCACTCGACTATCTAATTTTCTATAAATTGAAATATTTCTAGCCTTTGGTTTTTTCAAAGCAGACTGGTGCTTTCTTTCTCTTTTCAACATGAATTTCACCGAATTCTCTCTCATTTTAGCATAGTGAAAAAGCATTCAATTTCGTCCGGACTGCTCAGATATAAGGATTTTAAATGCATTCATTTTTATAGACCTGGAATATTGAGCGCAGTCATTACTAATAGTGCCGCTTTTCCTCTTTTGCCGGATTTAAGTTTTGAGTTGTGTCACTTTTTCTGTGGCGGTGGGATAGAAAAATTTTAAAATTTAATAGAATATCGGTCGATAAAATGCATATCAAATGGGATCGTTTCTATTGGTTTTCAGTAGACACGTTGCCACTAGCTTACAACACATTTTTATTCAAACCCTAATTTAAAAAATGTTTGCAAACAGAAGGAACTTGTAAGGATTGCAACTGATGTTTATTAGAAATTATTTAGTAGTTCTATTGGTTTTCCAGAAACGGGGCTTAAACTATTAATTATTTTGAACGTAGGCTAATTGCTAAAATATTACATTAAAAGCAATCCGACGTAGTGTTCATATAAATCTGGTAATCCAAAGCACTCAAACCCAAACTGCTGTAATTCGGTCGCTTTCCGATTTATCTAATATGGCGCTTAATAGAGATGTTATTGGGCACCAATTGTGTCCTCGACATACTAAATGATCCATGAATTTAACAAACAATCTACAAATGGGCTGTGCGGTGTTGTAATACCATCCAGAACATGTTCTGCATAGACTCGATAAAGTTTATGATTGTGTGCGAATATCTGCGTATTTGGGCATGTATGGAAATTAAGTTTTATTGCAAACACAGAGTGAGTGGTATCAGTAATAAAACGACAATAACAGTCCAAGCTGCTATTAAATTTTAAAACCCCAAATGTAGGATATTTAGCAGCAGAAATATATTCAAATATAACTTTGACTGCAGTGCTATTTGGGCTGAAGCAAAATTGACATTGTTTAACTTGCCGGAACTTCTTTCAAGCATAGTTTATATTAAATGAAGAATCGGGTTCTGGATCGTAATTTTCAAGTGTGCACAGCAGATGCAGAGCCGATTAGGGGGCACAAATGAGGAGATAACGAACTAGTAGCTGCTGTTCTTTGAGAAAAATAAGTAACCTGTAAAAGAGCTCTTCTTTATTTGTCCAAGAGAATCTAGTCCAACTTCAACTAAAATTAATACTGTATCAATTTCAACCACAGCAAAGCAAGTTTTCTTAACTTACTACTACCTTACTTTCCTTACTTACTAATACTTAAAGCCAAATGAATTAAAAGAATTAAAAATACACGAAACACCTTAGTTAAAAACAACAAAACTGTAATAGAAGAACAATTGAAAAGAACAAGAAAATAAGCGACTTAGCTAGACCAACTGCAAATAACTGAAGAATAGGTAAATAAAGAGGTGTAGCAAGTAGGGAAATAAATGTCATTGCTATCTTAACCTTTTTGCCACGTTTAACTTAAAAAAATCCTTGCAGATCATTTATTTTGCCATACTTACGGTACGAATGCTTTCGTTAGATATTTTCTAACAACTGGAGTATGGTTTGATTTTGGTTCAGGTTCTCTTCTCATATCTTATTGACGTTCAAGATAATTCACACATTAAATTTGGCTCATTAGGTTTACACCAATCTACTTTTTTCTCTTCCAAAATAACTTTGTAACCAGGTGTCGAATCGACTGAATTGCCTTTCCGTACGACTAAGAACTTATGTCTTCCTGTTCAACGTTTAAATAAACAAAACGTTCATGGTTTTCGAGCAAAAAGCTCAGTGATTTAAATCTACGCGAAATCGAGCTGCGAAAGTAACTTTCGAAATAAATTTTCACTTCATTGAATATGCATATTAAGCTATCTATCGTCATGTATAAGCCAAACATTTATCTGCACTTCTAAATTAAAGTCTTGAAATAAGAAAAAGTTGAAGGATCGATTTCATTGAGTCGGAACGGAGTTTCAGTATCAATTTCAACTCAATTTGAATTAGTTCTTATCGATATCAGCTTGAGAATATTTCCGGGACTGATGGAAATGCGTTCCGATGTTTTTCACAATAAGAAATATGAGCTCCCGCCATTGTTTTTGTCTGGGAAATGGATTTTTATGGAATCCAGGCAGGTGGATTATTTCGTCTCCTCAAAACATCGTGTCATGAACACAATCAACACATGTTGACGCAGACGCTGGAGAAACATTAGGTTTAATAATTATTAACACGAGGCGGTTAATTTATTAATTGATTAATAGTAGTAGGGATTAACACCCGGGGACACTTAGTGCATCTGTATTAATAAAATGTTACAACCATGTTAATTTTTAATTACTACATTTACACACCCAATAGGCTGAAATCATTAACTCGGCCATCATGGTAGTAAACTGGTGATAAAAAAACAACGCACCAAATACTAAATAAATGGTTAATTTAATTTAATTATTCAACAGTAACCATGCAAATTCTAACTTTAGACTGACTTTACCACGCCAAATTCAATTAGAAATAGGGCATTTCTCAAATTATTTCATTAACTAATGCCATGGGTCAGATGCTTCGAATACATTCAGCGACAGTTCATTCAAATTCAATCTGCCTAACTCCGTGTTGGACGATAGAAACGACTAAATTAAATAGGTTGTGTTCATTGCCTAAATCGTCAGATTAGGGGATTTAAAGACTCAAAAACGTATTTAGATTAATGTTGCATACAAGTAAATTATAGTAGCTTAGGAATTGTTATCAATTTAGGTTTGGTTCAGATATAGATAGTGTATGGGTTTCTAAACCGATTAGTTCGAGCTCTGTCGGTGTACTTTTAATTAAGATCTTATAACAAACTGTATGATTCCCATGTCGTGTCATGGAATTCGCATTTAATCGCAGAAATGTGTCTAATAATAAATAATAAGTATTATCATCGATTTCTTTATCAGTCTGGAAAATATGATAAAGTTTATTGTATTATTTGCTATCATTTATTTAAGGTGATTTAAACAATATTCAGAATCTAGGGGCACGACCGTGACGATTTACTCGATAACATCACGTCAGGTGTGGAAAATCATCTTTTGAGTTCGGTAAATATGTATATATGTTGCCACGAATTCTGCGAATGAATATGAGTTGGCACTTCAGAAGTTAAACCAGTTACTGCTTTGTGTGTGAATAGCTGCCAAAGTTTCTTTTGGTTTTTCACCAATTGGTTTTTGAACCCTGACTTGATGTTCAATGTAAGGCTGAGTTTGGTCTGTCGCTCTGATCGTATCTGTCACTGTGTTTATCAGTTTATCTAATTAATTGTATTTTATTTAATTTTATCAATATTACTGACGTATGTAAAAGTTATATCTTTTTAACATAGATAAAGGARTTTKAATTTTAATTTCAGCTAGTTCGCTTCAAATTTTTATTTTTATAAATTTTTATTCACAAAGTCTTCAACATATTTATGTTTTAATTCCACATTATTAGGGGGCCAAAATAGTTTTAGAAATCATTACAAAATTATGCTGCCAATATGCCAATGAAAACAGCCTGTTGAMAWRRCWKSAGTYKAWAKYRTAYTAAACCTAAGTTGATATTGAAGCAATAAGAYCATTTAGCATTATCGTAGTTYCAGCTKGTAAAACATTCAATTCAAAACAAGCCGAATRGTCTGATCTTGTCATCRACGAAAGGGATWAGATAARGTTTGCTWAAAGGTACGAAATACACAKTTTCGAGCTCTCTGAACGTATTTAATTTACTAGTTAAACAGGTGTATATTTMTGACTTCTGGTATTTAACTTCTGAGCCACAGCATAATGAATATAATAATAATAATAATTTTGCTGTGTCTAAGCACSGGAAGGTCAGAATATCGAATATCGCTGGAACCAGTAGTTCAAGACACAAAATATTGAATCAGGAAATGAACGAACACAAACTATAAAATAATCGATGAGTCTAACAACGAAGTTTAAATAAAACTTAGCTAGCACCTACATAATTGAAAGAAGTGTATACAGTTTTTCAAGTTCAGATCAGTTCAGCATTGGCGTAGCAACTAAAGCAAATTATAATAGATACAAATAAACTAACACTGAAATAATGCATGCATTTCCTTCTGACGTTGAGAAATATTTGCTCAGGAATACTTGGACCACTCTGCAGTAATGTATTGTATAGATAAATTCATGTTCATGGACATCAGCAGGAACACATTTTTCTATCAGCCAGTAAGTTTAGTTTTGCAAATCTGAAAAGACATAAACTCAGGTTCTTATATATCAATATATGTCAATATCCAAAAGTTTCGCACCTGCTTCTGCAATTTTGTTGTAATCTTTAGAACTAGCTATTAGCACCAATTTTTAACATGTTTGCCTCCTCTGCAACTTTGAAATCATCCGCCAGATTTAACTTTCTTTATTTATTTAAGTATTTGAAGTATTGATGAACCGCATCTAAAAGTCTAGTCTTTAGGTTTTGAATTTTCGACAAATTGGAACGAAAAAATAGAGGTTTACTACTTTGTCAACACTTGATTATTTTCTTCATTCGCGTTCTAATCATTTATTTTTAGGAAGATTAACACTCAATTTTAAGTTTCCTTCGACGAGGTACCATGGCTACCGACACGAGAGTCAGGTGTCGACAAAGTAGGAAAACTCGGTTGTCTTCTTACATCTAAAAGTCCAAATATACCAAAGTTGCCTTGAAAGTGCTGATTAAGGCTATTTTACCAGTGTAAATATTTAAATAATAAAACGTGAGCATAATAATATAAGTACAAAAACGTGAGGTTTGACTGCAGGTTGGTTATTGGAGCCTTCTTCGTTTTTTAGTCTTTTACCTCTGTCTCTACGAATCACTGCGATTTGTGAACAAAAAGGTATAGCGGGTGTCAACTTCTCGCCCTTGATATCTTTCTTGGAGTTTAAAATATGAAAAATCGGAAAGACCAGTCATTATTATTTGTAAGGGGAACACTTTAAATGAATATTTTTAGCCTCCTTATTTCAACCCCCTAGGAAAAAAAGTCATCCTTAGAAACTTAAATAAGAAGGTGGGTCAAGTGGAGCATCTTTTTAAAGGGCGTTCAATTCTCTTTGTATTAGTTACTAATTTGTTGCGTTTTGTTCAGAGCGTTTCGAATAATCGCACTTCAAATTTGTAGAGACAATTAAACTTTTAACAAAAACAATTGTATTGAGCCTCCTTGGAATACAAATGATTCGAAGAGCAGGTTACACTGTTAAAATCGTTGAATAACCCGAAGAAAATCTACTCGCCCTAGAGGGTTGAAACAAGGTGGCTAAAAATATTATTTTAAAGTGTCCCCCTTACAAATAAAATTGGCGGGTCTTTTCGATTTTTCATATTTTCTACTGCAAGAACGATATTAAGACTGGAAAGGTTTCAAATTGACGGCAGATATAATATTTAACACCTCAAATGGCACAGCATATACATAATCATAAACTGAATAATCCACTGTTGGATCAATTTGTTTGGGAATTACAGAGTTAACATTTTTTCTTGTTCATATCACTGTGCACTATTTAGATCTCCCGATACTAACCGATACTTATATTGCCCAAAAATATCCTCCGGAATTAGGGCAAGCGCTTTTCTGAGCAGGCATTTCCTTCGCCCCTGAAGATCGAATATTAACAGCACCCGTCACTTGCCAATGGTATTATTATGCTCTTATAATCTTTCGCTGTACAAATTGACCTCGGCATTTGGGATGTACGTGTTCGGAATCGCTAGCTTTCGACTTATTGCCAACGGATCCGCTTTAAAAGAATTTAGAAGCTTTCAAATATCCGTCAAAACGTAAGGCAACCCTTATGCTTATTGGTTTGTAATGAGGGGAGCAATCGATCAGAGTGCAATTATGGGGAACTTGAATGGGATTTAATGGTGCCACGTTTCGCGATTTGAATTTTAATGGAAATATTCATTTTTTTTTCTGGCTTCTTGTGTGAAATCAATTTTTCATCCATAATGGTTGCAAGCTCCTGTGGAATGATGTCGACACTCTGAAACTAAAAGCCATATATTCACATCTCCAACCTTAGTATGACCTGCTATATGCCAATTTTCTGAATACTTTTTTTATATCACTTGGAATATTGAACCAGCAGTTTACCTGGCAATACAAGTGAGTACATCGCAAGAATCTTAAAATTAAAATTTCATCCAGTTGCAGCGCTCTTGTCTTATCTAGAATTCCGGCTTACAAAACTATATCCAAATTGATTCTCGAAAGTCGGGCTCCGAATCGGACTTAAGTTACAGAACTATCAATTTATTTCCAAAGTTTGCTACCAACGTAAAGGCTGGCGCCATATAACTATTTTACGAATTAATTTTTAATAGCAGTAACAGAACTTGTCTTATTGCTGGCATAACAATTTAGTTGTAAAAATAAATTAGTAGTGGGTGTTTTAATAATTTAAAGCAGAAATACMCAGCCAGTATTTCTGCTTTAAATGCTCTGGAAAAAGTTGGGGTTGTAAAGTGCAAACCTGCAGATTTTGGTGGATGGAGCAGTTGAACATGTTCCGAACATCAGACGGCCATCGCTTGAAGACATTTAAAGAGTTTGGTGTATTTCTTGCCCCAAATTTGGAGTATTTTTTTCTGACTGTTGATTGGTAGAGACTATTGATTTGGATAAATTGTGATTGAGTAAATTAAAGATAATTTTGAAAATACATATGAAATATACGTGTTGGACAGTTCAAGCAAATATGATGAGAAAAAAAATTCTTCAAAATTCAGCTTTTAGCGGCGTTTTCAGTGTAACATTAAATAGAGCCATAACTTGTGTTGCCTTCTCTAAGCTTTAAACTACAAATATATTATATAAGTTTAGAAAAACACGATTTTTTCAATTGTAAATAAACAGCTCTACTTTTCTAATCTTGCAGATTCTACTCTCTATAGCTTTTGCGGCATTTGCTCAATATACGTTGTTGGTCAATATCCACCGAACATTAGCTTCAACTGTTAAATGTTTCTGTTCTATGGTTAAAAGACAGCAGAACTTTAGTCAAAATGTTCTCACTGTGTTGTTAAGAGAGTAGCAAAAAGTTATTCATACTTTTTACTCAGTTGATAGTTATAACGAATATCGCCTAGAAATAAAATGGAATTTWAATATTTTAAATTTATCACAGATCRATATATAGATTTACATATTATTGACATTTTACTAATATTTGTGTTATAGCTATTGACTTGTGCAGTTCAAAATGCTACCAAGTAAATTGGCAATAAAATTTGCCTTGGTTTTTTGTCCATTTTCATTATGTAGATATTAAAATTACATTTATCAACTAATAGTATTAATAGAACGCTTCCAATGATTTTGACTATGGTTAASTTGTGAACATATTCCGGTCATAACTTCGGTCTGATTGAAATGTCCAAAAACGGAAAATTCAACCGTGTTCAAATATAAAACTTTTCTGTATAGCAGATGTAATTTTTAATTTTTCTAAAAGAATAGTTGATAATTCTTCTCAAGAGTAGCAACTTAATTCAGGGACAAACAAAATGCATTTCATATTGCATAAAAAAGCTCCCTACATAGCCTATGAAATAAAAATTATATTTTTAGTATTACTTATTGTATATAAGTAGGTACCAAACAATCCGGAATTTTTTCGGCGATTGGCGTAAAATCAATAAATCTTGGATGTTCTTGTAAATTTTGAACTCTAGAAAATAACCAATTTATTAAGTTTCTAGGTAGGTGCTAGCTTGCATGTTTCTCCTGAACAAAAACTGATAATTTATTCTTGTGTCCCGAAGAACCCGTAGTCGGAGAAAGACAGAGAAACCTTACGATATTTACCTAATCGCCCAAAATTACAGTTTGTAAGTTTGGAAAACTCTTCATCCGATATTTCTTCTATTGTCCTATTCCCATTATTATGTCTCGTTTCCCTAAACTTTATTAAATGATGTTTTTTACTTGATTATTCAAATTGATTATTCAAAATGACTTCAAACTCTAAAAATTCAAGTAGATGTTAATTATTCATGCGGGCCAAAGCCGAGCTTTTTTAGTACTGCTCATATTGTTGAGCAATTTTGTATTTAACATTCGAAAATGTTAATATTTTGGACATGTGAGTTCTCACGCATAAGTATTTTTATTATGTTATATAAATAAAACGAAAGGCTGTATGAGCGACAATTCCTCACGTCACCTTCATGGGGTTCTTCAAACTTTAAATAGTATTTAACTTGCCCTTATTTATCTTGCACAACCTTCAAGTCCAGTTCATAATTCCTGAATAATACATATCGTGCCTTTTTGAAACGCCTAATTCTAAATTTCAATACGCAACAGTTGAACAAAAAAATATTAAAAAAATTCTATTGCCAAATAAATTATATCATATAATTCTCAATAATATTTTAACTGTAAGCGATAATAATTAATATAATAATAGCCATACTTTTGGCTTCAGATATTTAACGCGTTTAGGAGTTTTAACGTAAAAATGTCCTTGTATATATATATATATCTTATGAGCTATATGATATATCTATATAGCTATACCTACACTTTTAGTCTATGTGTCAAAGAATAGCACCAGTGAAACATTTGAGCAGAAATACTGATGAATGCAATTTTCCTTTAACTCTACAAGCGTAAAGACCAAAACTAAAAATTGTGCAAGTTTTAGTAGGTACACTCTTGCGATAAAGACATCTGTATAAATTCTGCAACCTATGAACGGGACATTGACAAATATATTACCCTATTCACCTAAAGGAACGTGCCCCCAAACACGGTTCGAATAGCGCGAACGTGCCTTACGTATTTTAGCCAGACTTATTTATAAAATCAAGTTGTGAAAAAGTTCCTAGCTTGGCCTTCGGGCTCAGAATATAAAGTGTTGCTTCTGTTTTGAAAGAAGTGCCGTTTAAACTCAAAGTTAAGAGGAAACTTCCCTGAATAAAGTACGATTTGAGTCGTCTGATATTTATTGGTCTTCTTGGTCGTTCAGCTGATGTTTATTGAATACATGGTCGTGTAACTCAAAATTGGCTAACGTAGAATTTTTATAAACAGAAACGGTGTACTTCCAGTTTATGGATTACGTTAATTAATTTAAGGTTGGTAATTCGATTTTTGGAAGCCACAGCGAATTGCGTACGAATTTATCCAATGATTTCAAAAGCAATTACCATGCCAAATTAAACCCGWATTGAAATGTGCACAATTTCCACTATTTGTCATCAATTTTCCTAATTAATCTAGCCCAAAATATAGTTGTTTCCTGGAAACCAGACATTCAMCAATTTTTAACAATTACTTAACTGGTAAAGCCAGCAAAATMAACCGTCAAAAATTATCAGGAAATAAATGTAGTTCTCCTTAGTTATTCGACARCAAAATTACTAAATATTCCATTAGATAGTACACACAACAGAATTTTTTTATATCRTTYATTTGTTTCAATTCAAGGATTTTAGTGCAAGATATCGAATGTGATTAGTGAGGCGGCAAAAAATGATGTAGTCGAAGCTGRTGTATAGTCACTATTTTTTAAGTTAATTAATTGATTTGTTACATGTTTAAGCAATATRCTAAAAACTAGGTTTGTGTTGGCCGATTTACTCTTACTCTACTACCTACTAAAATAAATTTGAAAATAAATYTAACTATGGCGAGATGAGTGGATTATTAGAAGAAAGAAGTCGTATTCTTCAGCAYTTATATATCTTCAATCAGGTGATGGTTCTGTTCTTGGTCAKCAGATCCGTTGCCAGTMTATTCAGAAGAATTGATAATCTGTWTGTGTATATGAAGTRAATGGTCKATMTTTYATCAGTAACTGTTTTTAGTTGTMGGTCATTCCTGATTAATTCATTTGGGACAAACCAGGGAGCATTTACGATTTCTCTCAGACATTTCGATTGAAACCTCTCAACGATTTCGATGTTTGATTTAGAAGYA